CAGATCAACATGTAGCAATAAACCGGCAGCCAGAGTTCTGCGGATTTTTTGACATCTCGATTCCTCAGAACTCTGGCTGCCGGTTTATTGCTACATGTTGATCTGTAGCCTCCTCGTCGAGATATTTGCTAAAATATGACGTTGGAGCTGACTCTTAAATTACTATTTTTCTATTACTTTGTTTTCGGAAAAAACCAGGTGAACAATGTCCACTATGATCGATGGCCACCATTTTTAATAAGTTGACGGCTGACCGGACTACTGTAGCCTTCGTCCTGCCGCAAAAATATTTTAACACAAGTTGGAAATGACGACGCCTATAAGTCCTTCCATCTTCAAATTGATTTTTGGGTTATCCATCTTCAAATTGACATTTTCCGTGTAAAACATTAATTTGCATAAGATAGTTGATTTTTTAACAGCAGGTGAACAAAAACCGGTAATATATTCATTTCTACCCTTATTTCCCATTGGCGGAAGTGAATCGTTTGCTGCTTGCTTCCATCATTTACTTTATCAAACACTGCTATTGATACTCCCCAAAATGATGCTGGGCCAATTAGTTTGAAGGTTCTGGCATAAATCTTCAATGTTCTAGTAGTGATAGCACCAATTTTTAAGAGCTTTTCCGAGAAAATCATGGAACACCGTGGTAGAAACATGTTTTTTGAAAACGGAAGATGAACTCGTTGGATGTTATGTAAACAGGTCCTCAAAAAGGTCGCGAAGCTCTTCCAGGATTATGTCTGGATAAGACTTAGCTGGAAAACAATTCTGTTGGTGAGAACTAGCAGTGGAACGGAAAAAGTCGAATTGTTTTTGTCCTTGCTCTCGCTGTTTCGTCCATGACGTACGTTCGACAGCAATCTTCCTGCCCTTTACTATCTTCCCGGACGGCCTTCAGCTTTTCTTTCTTGTTCCATGAACCATCGAACTGAACGTAATGTTATTTTCATGGCTGCATTACTATCTTGCTGTCACGTGACAATGGTATACGATCTATACGTTATGAATGGCATGGAGCGTTGTTGGGAATAAGGACGATTGAGTTGCTGTGGTATCTTCTTTAAGGTTAACTGTTAACTTCGCGACCACCTGCAGACTTTGAAAGTCGTTTTACTATGGTAATCGCAGTTTTCACCCCTTTTGCTAGGTATCGGCACTTCTTTAACATCATAACATGAAGCAGCCGCTTTCAACGCAGTGCAACACATGCCTTATCTTCTTTCCGATTAAGAGGTAGCAATGGGGACGTGTAGGGTGGGCGGAACGATATGGTATTCCGGATTGTCCCAACTCCTAATATGGCTAGTATTGATCCGTATCCAAGTTTTAGTGAAGTACGATGGTCTTCGGATTCGCTGCAATTCCTGATTGCCTCAGAAAAACGCTTTTGAGAGAAAGTTTTTTTCAATCAAGTAATAAGGTATTTCTTTCAATCTTCTTTTGTCTGCAGTCATAATTTTTACATCTTCATTGAACGCTTTGATTTAGAGGAGAAATGTTTGAAAATTTGCTCATAAAAATTAATGTTTGTAGAATTTAATGCATCTGTAACCCGTTCTTCTACTCGTTTCCGTGTTTGCATTGCAGAAATGGGCTTTTGAAAAAATCCAATCCTTGTTGGCAGAACTAGAAGTTTAGCTTTTTACTGAGGTCGTCTATGACAAGCGCTTTGTGCATTTTATGAAACAAGTTCATGCTGCTTTGTACTTAGCCCCAAACCACGGAACTAGATCAATCAGCGTAAAACCCCTACTTGACACGTCTATTGGGCTTTCTCTATGTCCACACAGAAAACAAGTTTTTATGGTCCTGATCGGGAGCCTGTTTCAAAAAAGCTCTCAAGAATGAATTTCTAAAAAGGTAAAACTAGCAGCTCCGGAAGCTGGGAACAAGTAGAAGTATCACCGGAATTACTGTGCCCGACACTTCAAGCTTTATTTGCCACGGCATTAAGCAAACTGATATGTTAAGTGTCATTTGCTTCATTTCTCACAAATCTTGTTACTCTGAATAATATGCGCTGCATAAGGGAAAGGCAGCTTTATCGGCTTTCAAAAAAGCAAAAATTAGGTGCATTTATTTGTTTATTATGTGCATTCGGATCGTAAAATTGATTTGGTAGTATCAGACCCAGTATTTTATACTTATAGCGGTAGAGGCTCGCAGTTTTATTAATAGGCTGCCATTGAACGGTTGGCCATGGAAGTGGATCGCATTTCCGTTGATAATATTGGGTTCTGGTTTTTTCCAATTTTATTTAGCTCTTCCGAGCTGCCGTTTTTCATCGTTTTGTGTTATCGACGGGAATGGCCTTGAATTTACTGGATGAAAAACCTGTTATTACAACAAAATATGTTCCTTTCCTGAGTTTTTGTGCACACGCTTCCCTTGATCCAGGTAATTATTTAAGAGCACATCTACTTTCAGCAACTTCTCCATTTATTTTTAATAAATGTCGGTGCAAGTAATTTTAACTTGATTTACGGTTCAGAAAGAAGCAACATCAGCTGTAGAACGCGGGTTATCAGTTAGGCAAAGCGTATTTTTTGAAAAGGCGAAAAAGCGTGACCTACTTTACTCTGAAATTATCAGGGGGAAAGTCTTGAAGCATTGTAACAAAAATTTTCATTCGTCATCAATTTCATAACAGTAGTGCGCGCCTTTATTTGTTATGAGTTTCTTGATGAATTTTAACTAGAGATTACTTCTTAGGGAATCCTCAGTATCCGATAGAGGTCTTGAAGTATGGCTACAGTTCCTAGGATCCCTTTCTGCGCAGCGTTTTCCCAAAGGTGGTGAAAGCATGACCCTAGTTGTAGAGAAAAGGATGTTTTGTGCGCAGAAGGTATTTTAGGTGCAAAAGATGAAAATGTAGAAAAGAGACCTTAATTCTGACACGTTTTTGAGAGAAGCTCTTTAATTAAAGGCGTACTTACCGGATTGTTGGACACGAGATGTGTGCCGGTATGTGAGTAAACTGCATAGGGTATGTGTAGAGGAATTGATAGTACTGTAGATAGCGTCATTATTACCCACTGCTTTAAGGCCCTTCGTGATTTAGCGTTGAATACTTCCAAAGACATCCAATTCATATACGATGGCCTGATAAGATTGTTGAAATGGTCAGAAATGTCTCATCCAGAAGAAAAGACAACAGAGAGGAGTTTATACGGGTTCAGTACTGTTTTGGAGGGATTGAAAGATAGTAGGAAGAATGTTTTGCTCTTTTGCTGATACCTCGATGTCGTTAAAGCGTTCTTCCCAAACTAGTCAGTTGAACAGGATTCTTAAAACATCGTAGGAAAGTTGCTTGAAGAGTATTAGCATTTAGTGGTCAGCTGCAAGTTGATATTATCTTATATTATGTTATGTTATGTGATATTATATTATTCTATATTATATTATATTATATTATGTTATATTATATTATATTATATTATATTATATTATATTATATTATATTGTATTATATTATATTGTTATATTACAATACAATACAACACATCATAATACAACGTAATATAACATAATGTAGTACAATAAAACACAATATAATGAACATAGCATAACATAACACGACATAACAAATATAACATAATATAACATAGTATAATATTAGTGCCCAAAACGCGCTTTAGCCCCTTAGTGAACAAAAACTATGTCAAGGTTCCCAAGCGGCCTCTTCAGAATTTTGACTTAAACCTCCGTGGAAATATTAAGAAAAGAATTACGCCTTGAAATCCGCAAAAAAGAACGGAGGGGTGTTCACAAGCATATAATAGCAATGCTGGAACACTGGATTAAAGTAACATGCAATAGATGCAAGCGACTGGTAAGCCCAATGAGTGCGTTGCAAGTAGACGAGCAAATGAGTATGCGACAAAATATTACATTTTTCTTGCTTTATTATATTTTTCCCATTGTCACTTTCATTATTCCCCAATTATATATTAGAGTTACACAAAGGCTTTTCGCCATTTTAATATTTAACGCTTGTATGCAATCATTTTTCGTGTAGAAGTAGCGTGCACTAAGTGACTCGTAAAAAACGCAACTCTCCACCTGGCACAGGGCGGAAAGCAACAAATTGACGAGGCCACTCCCGATAAGG